CCAGCTATTGATTCTCATCTTAAACCGATGAAAAGAAGAGAGATGTAAACTTGTCCCAATCCCTGGATTGTGTGGAATGGAAAGTTGGAATGGCTGCTTTGTCATTGGTTATTCCCTGTGCAAGATTTGGGGATGGGTGAGGATATCAGACTTGAAGAGCAAAATGCTTAACCTCCACCTCCCACTCTGGGCTCTCCTATTCAAGCAGCTATTTTTCCTTAAGAAGAAGAAAGAAAAGTCGTTGGAGGGCCTTAAATGAAAACCATAAAGAGAAAGTAGTAGGATGTGATTTGGGGTACAACTGGAGTGACTGAGTCTGGGAAAAACATTGCAGGTGAGAACAGACTCTAAGTCAGCATCCTAATGTCGTGATCACTGAGTTAGAGACAGAGCCCTGGGTAGAGCAGGGTTTTCTGAGACCTTTGGGGAAGAGATATATATTCCCAAAATATCCCTTTACCTATTCTCAGGTTAAGGAATTGCCTACCCTTAAGGATATGGACTTTCTCAACAAGAACCAGAAAGTTTATATTGGTGAAGAGGAGAAGAAAATCTTTCTAGAGAAGCTAAAGAGAGATGTGGAGGTGATGATTGGGGTGCTCTGGGAATGGCTTTGTTTTCTTTTTTTGCTCCCCTCAGGGTAGTTGTCTCTCCATTCAGAGTATGAGGGAACTCCCCCCCTTCCCTTTATTCTTTGGATTCTCTGTATTTAGGGAGTTGGGTATGAGACATGAAAACCCCCTAGAAGTGATGCATGGAAGGGGTGGCTGGAATGAACTAAAAGGATGATTTTAGACACCGGGACATTTAGGTACTAAAGGCCAATGGTATACTACCAACCCTCAATTTTTACACTTCCTTTCCCAGGAGGGCCCCAGAAATTCAGGGGTTGTGGGAGGTATAAGGGTCGTACCTGGGATTGGGGAGGGAGTTTCAGGGTATCTGATTTGTCATTGGGGTCTCAGTTCCTAGTGCAGCTGAAGATCATGGACTACAGCCTTCTGTTGGGCATACATGACATAATTCGTGGCTCTGAACCAGAGGAGGAGGGGCCTGTGCGGGAGGTGGAGTCAGAGGGGGATGGGGACTGTGGCCTGACTGGACCTCCTGCTCTGGTGGGCTCCTATGGCACCTCCCCTGAGGGTATTGGCAGCTACATGCTTTCTCATCGGCCCCTGGGCCCTGGAGAGTTTGAATCCTTCATTGATGTCTACGCCATCCGGAGTGCTGAAGGTAAGAGAGATCCTGGAAATTTTAAGGGTGGGGAGGGTAGTCCTTGTAGGACAGAGACTGGGGTGCTGGATGGAGAGGCTGGTTAGCTTTTCAAAGACCTGACTGGTTCCTGGGGAAAGGGAATTGGGGCTATACTTGCTCTTCATTGTTGGTTACTCTCTCCAGGGGCCCCCCAGAAGGAGGTGTATTTCATGGGCCTCATTGACATCCTGACGCAGTATGATGCCAAGAAGAAAGCAGCTCATGCAGCCAAAACTGTCAAGCATGGGGTGAGGGCTCCCGGAGGCCTTTCCTTTCCTATCTTGACTATTCCTTGGGAAGAGAGAGTCTCTTGTGCCAGAGCAGTGGGTTGACAAAAGGATGAAGTGTTGGGTATGGAAAGGGTGGGGAGTGGAATAGAGGATGAGTGGCGGGATGGCCTGACACCATGTTCCATACCTCTTCTCGTAGGCTGGGGCAGAGATCTCTACCGTCCATCCTGAGCAGTATGCTAAGCGATTCCTGGATTTTATTACCAACATCTTTGCCTAAGAGATTTCGTGGTCACTGCTACTTTATGTTCAAGGTGGTGGGGTTCTGAGAGCCTTGGGGGAATTGTGGATTCTGGTCACTACTTCTCTTCCTCTGCTAAATTCAGGCTACAGGCTCCTTCCTTCCAAATAACTCCATCTTATTGAGTAGGCTCTTCCTGGCCCTCAGAAGTACATCATCTTTTCTCCCCTTTGTCCAGTTTTCTTCCCTCTCTTTCTCCCCTTCAACATGTCTGCTTGCTTCATTAGAGTGTTACTGTTGATTCTCTCCCAAGTGCCTTGATTTTTGTAAAATGTTCTGTTGTTTCTATAAAAGTAGAAGAATCTGGCGGGAGGGGGTTGTTTGCTGTCTTCAGGACCTGACTGGACAGATGGAACTGGCTCAAGCAACTACTCTGGATGCACTTTGTTCTGTGGGATGAACACTAAGTGACTGAATTTTGCTGATAACTTTATAGAACTCACTGGGGCATACCTGCTTCCTGGTAGGCCCTGAGATGAAAGACTTTCAAGATACTACAGATGTGGGTGCAGGCATGCACACATGATGAGATATGGCTAATCTTACACACACAGGTCGGGTGGAGAGTGGTCAGCAGGCTGGCACCTCATGGAGGTGGGAACTAAGAGGACTCTTGTGATTGATTATGCATAAAACTGGAGAAAGTCTCTGTCAAGGATGGACTACTCTCTCCAATCTTCCCTCACCCCACTTCTGTCCTCACCTCTGTACTTCTGGACACAGGAGCCCAGAGATGGATGGCCACAGTGTTCAAGGCTAGGTGAAGGAGTTGACTGCTCTGCTCCTCCTCAAGACCACACACCTCTTCTGGCTCTGGAACCCTTCAGTGGAGGAGTGACAGTTTTGTAGGCTGGGATGATAGGCCAAGGGCCTAAGGTTCATTCCCCACGTTAAATTTCTTTTCTTCATGCCCCCCATCCCTGAGGTTTTATTCCCAGGAGAAGGTAATGTCTCTACCTGGGTCAACCCTGGACATTTCAAGAGAATGGAGGTCTCAAGTATAGGAACCTCCTCTACCCACTGGAGGTGTGTGCCTAGCATACTTCCTCCCCCCACTCCTTCTCAAACCCCTTTTCCAGTTGATTTGTTATTCTGTCCTCTTCTACCCCACCTTATTGCTACTGTGTCTCCCAGTCATCTTCACTCTCTATTCCTATAGAGAAATCAGAGCTGTAACTCGATCACCTAGCCCCCTCCAAAGATAGTGGTGTGGATGCATGATATTCTCAGAATATAGAGGATCCTGATGAGCCCAGATAGTGTCCTCCCCACCCTCCAATGCATTTGGGGCAAAGGCAGCCATTCTTCTTGCTATCCTCCATACCCCTTGAGGCTTCTACATTTTTAAAAAATATAAAGATGGATACCAGCAACTGGCCTGTGGGGATGCAAAGATTCTTTGCTCTGTATCTGGCTGAACTGATCTGTCTCAAGAAGTCATGAGATCGTAAAGAAGAATTCCTGCCCTGGTTGATGTGGCTCCGTGGGTTGAAGCGTCATCCCATACACCACAAGGTTGTGGGTTTGATTCCCAGTGAGGGTACATACCCAGGTTGTGGGTTCAATCCCTGGTCAGGATGCATATGGAAGGCAACTGATCATAGTTTCTTTGTCCCTTTCCCTTTCTCTAAAATAAAAGAATAAAAGTAAAAACAACAAAAAAATCCCCCTTCTCCCTCCATCTTTGGCTCCAAAGGAAGTAACAAGAGGAGTCCCAGTTAAGGATTGGGACTTGCGATACCTTCCTGCCCAGAGCCTACCGTTCCCCTGGTGAATGCAATAAGACTCCATGGCACCAGCAACTGCTGTTCTTTAGGAATGGGTTTTCTGACCATGTAGCTGATGTATCATGAGCAGTATGGTCTTCCATTTGTTGCTTCTGATTTTCATCTTTTTTATTAACTAATACAAAAGATCTTATGTATTTACTCCCATGGCTGTCACTATATAGAAATTAAATTATGGAATCTAAATCCCTTCACAGAAATGCCTCTTTTTTTTTCTTTTTTACTTTTCTGAAGAAGCCTGTGCTGAGGATTGCAGGGACCAGATGACGAATTCTGATCTTTAAGGTGTTGGGCCCCTAAGTAAGGATGTAGGTTTCTACTTAGATGGCTGTGAACTTAAGAGGTTGTGAGGATTGTGGCCCTGGCTGGGTAGTTCAGTTGGTTAGAGCATCGTCCCAGTACACCAAGATTGAGATTCGATCCTGGTCAGGGCACATACAAGAATCAACTAATAATGCATAAATAAGTGGAACAACAAATCCATGTTTCTCTCTCTCTTCCTCTAAAAATCAATAAATAAAACAAGTTTTTTAAGTTGTATTGTGCATTCTCCAACTTTATGGAAGTTAAGCTATAGGAGCTAGGAAGAACAGAAGTGACCCGGGTGCCCCCGGATTCTGGGCTTGGTCACACCCCCTATCTCTGTCAAGGTGCCTCTCCGCCCACGAGCTAAAAGAAGGAACTCCGTTTTCCCCCAGGCTTCTTGGGAAAGATGTCCTCTGCCTGGAGGGCAGAAATAGTACAGCAGGGTCCTGGGAAAGTGAAGAAGAAAGTGACCAGCCCTCCGCCCAGAAGGGGCGTGAAGGGAGGGGGTGGTGGACGGAGCCGTAGCCAGGCCGGAGACCGCACCTCCGGGGAGGAGGTCTGGCCGGTGGGAAAGCCTGGCCCGATGCGGCCCCAGGGAAGCAGCTGGCGTTGGACCGGGGCGGAGATGGCTCTGATGTGGGAACCAAACAGCAGAGCTTTCTTTTCCTTTGAGAGTTTTTAACTACTTGAACCATAGACTTGAGCCCCCCACCCCCACCCCAATGCGTTTTAACAAACGTGATGGCTTCCCGTTCTGCGCCAGCCTCAGTGTCTCCGGAGAGAACCCTCAGGGGCGCCGACCCCGCCTGGCAGGGGGCCCGGCGGCGACCTAGGAAAGGCCGGGACGAGGGGTGGCGAGCGGTTATCCGGGGTTTACGGTTATTTCAGCTCCAGCGCTGTGCTCGTCACGGTGACTCCTCCTCAAAGGCCCTCCGGCGTAGGACCCCAACCTGCCGGCTCCCCGTCCCCCTAGCCCCGCACCCCTCGCCCACCCGCCACGGCCCGCACCCCGGCGGCCGCAGGGGCGGAAGGAGGGGGCGGCTCCGGGGGATGTAACCTCCGACCCCCGCTCCGCCACGCCGCCCCCCCCCCCCCCAGCCCGGGACGGAGCCTCCATTTTTGTTTTGGGGGCGAAGGGCAGGGGCTCGAGGGAGGCGGGGGTCAGAGGAGACGGTGACGGCCGCCGGGGAGGGGTGCCGTCCCCGCCCTTCCCCTCGGCTCGCACCCCTGCACAGCCCCCTCCACCTTCGCGGTGCCCCCCCTTGTTGCTAAGGCCCAGGCCGTCATCCCAGCAACAGCCTCAGTCATGTGACCGGCAATGGCGGCGCTGACGGGAGGTAGGTGAGCCCGGCGCCCCCACACCCACCGCGCGCCCCCCGGGCCCCGCTCGCCCCCCGCGCGCTCTCCCGCGGCCCCTGCGCCCCCTCCTCCGCCTCCTGTCCCGCGCGCGGCGCCGGGGACCCCCTCACGCCCGGAGTTCCTCCTGTCATCCTCCAGCCTTGGCCTCCATTTGGGGGTTCTGGGGGCCGCGGTCGGGCAGACGAGCACCCACACCCACTGGAGGGGCTCCGCGAGCGGGGACGCGGGGAGCTGGTTCCGGGTCGCGTCTGGCGGGAGGTCGCGGGGGAGGGGGCGCAGCCTCCGGGGCGCCCCCGGGGACCTGTCCTTCGCGGCGCCCCGCCCCCAGTGCGGCCCGCAGGGAGGGACCGGCCGCCCGGCCCGGGCTGCCCCGGAGGCACCGGGACCCGCGCTGCCGGCGGCCCCGCCTCCCTGTCCTGTGCCAGCAGGACTTGGAGCCAGATCGCCTAGGTCCTGGGTTCCCTCTGATGGGGGGGGGGGGGGGGGGCGCCTGGGTAGACAGCGTGAGCTGAGGGAGCTGTTCCCTTCTGGCCTTGGAGGAACTAGGATGGTGGCACAGATGGAGAGCTGCTCCCCTTGGGACCAGTCAAGGAATTGAGGTCACACCAGTGGCCCCTCTTTCTGTTTGAGCTGCATTGGGAGGTGGTGTAGGGACAGCTCTGAAGCTGAGCATGGCAAGACTGGGGGCACATCACACTCCTCCAGTGGAGCCCCTGCGTGACACCCCCCCCCCCCCCCAAATACAGACCAGTGGCTGGCAGACTTGCACTTGGCGTGCTGGTTTAAAAGGCGATAGTGGGAACTTGATTGCAGGGGCTGCTGCCACTTAGTTGCATTCCCGACAGATTCCTGTAGAAGACACTGGGGTGGCTCTCAAGGAAGGCTCCCCAGCAAGGGCGGCTGGATTGCTTGGAAATGTGGAGCCAGCGGGGAGATGGGGAACATAGGGAATACCTCATCCATGTGATCTGAGGGAGGTGGCAAGGAAAACCTCCATCTGTGTGGGCTTTCCCCTCCTGACTTCTCTTTTCTGTTCCCTGGGCTTTCTTGAGAGCCTCAGAGCTGGGGAAGAAAAAAGGAAAGTTAGCATGTTAAAATTCCTTCTCAGCAACTTGGGGAGAGGCTGGGGATGGAAGTCCATGGAGAAGGAGAGGAAATAGAGGAGTTTTTCTTTTGTTTCTGGGCTGACTGAGGAAGATGGTAACATTTGTCATCATAACCTTTTACTCTCCCCCTCCTCCCCAGTCCTGGTCAGCTGAGTGTGGAAATAGAGGGATTCCTGCCGCTATTGTGGTCCATGGGCTTTCAAGGTATCTGCCTCCCAAGGGAACCTCAACTTTCACCTTTAAATTGGTTTCCTCCATTCTATGTGCCAAGCAATCCCATTCCCAGTAGTTTACATCCAGGTTCCCATCTTTGTTATGTGGGCTGTTGGGTTGGGCATGTGGGAATGGGGCAAGGGGCTTCTCACTTTCCCTCCTCTTCCTGTCCACCCACCAGGTCACACCGCCTACAAGTAGGGACCAGGGACAGAGAAAGAGCCTGCATGCCATTTCTAAGGTCTTCAGGATCAAAGTGAGCAAAAAGGAGGGTCAAAATTCTCTCTCCCTTTTACAAAAGCCAGTTTTCACTCAGAGTGGGGAGGGGCAGATTGTTTCTATGATCTTGGGAGGAGTGGAAAGAGAACCAAGACCGATGCTTGGTTTAGATGAGAATAATAATGTTATAGAAACTTTCTTGCTCTTCAGTGGGTGCTGGGGATTTGAAAGAGAAGAGGAGACAGAAAATGAACTTGGGGGAGGAGTTCGTTGGGTGCTGGACTTTGAGAAAGCAGAGATAATACAAGGTTGGAAAGGACCCTGAAGTAGGAGGCACTGATGTTTGTCAAATGGGGGACCCCCCCACCCTGAGTCCCTTTCACCCTGGGGGCAGTGTCGTTCGTCCTCTCCAGAATGGCAGCCTGTGGAGGCACCTGCAAGACCAAAGTCACGGTCTCCAAGCCTGTGTGGGACTTCTTAAGCAAGGAGACACCAGCCCGGCTGGCCCGGCTTCGGGAAGAGCATCGTGTGTCCATCCTCATAGATGGCGAGACTTCTGACATCTATGTTCTCCAGCTTTCCCCACAGGGCCCTTCCCCCGCCCCTCCCAATGGGCTCTACCTGGCCAGGAAGGCTCTTAAGGGGCTGCTAAAAGAGGCAGAGAAAGAGCTGAAGAAAGCTCAGAGGCAGGGGGAGCTTATGGGCTGCCTGGCTTTGGGCGGTGGTGGGGAACATCCTGAGCTGCACCGCCCGGGCCCCCCCCCTCTCCGAGCAGCCCCACTCTTGCCCCCAGGGGCACGGGGGCTTCCTCCTCCTCCTCCTCCTCCCCTGCCCCCTCCTCTTCCTCCTCGCCTTCGGGAGGAAGCAGAAGAGCAGGAGAGTACCTGTCCCATCTGTCTGGGGGAGATACAGAACGCCAAGACATTGGAGAAGTGTCGGCACTCTTTCTGTGAAGGCTGCATCACCCGGGCCCTGCAGGTGAAAAAGGCCTGCCCCATGTGTGGCCGCTTCTATGGGCAGCTGGTAGGCAACCAGCCCCAGAATGGACGGATGCTGGTCTCTAAGGATGCCACACTCCTACTGCCCAGTTATGAGAAGTATGGCACCATCGTCATCCAGTATGTCTTCCCGCCCGGTGTCCAGGGGGTAAGGAGACTACCACCTGCCTTTACCCTTTGTTTCCCTCCCTCCCCCAGCTCCTTCTCTGATCTAGGAAAGCTAGGCGAGGGTGAGTGTGTTTTGAGATGTGATACAGTTTTGTTGTTTCCACTGTGTGCCTTTTGCTATATGCCTTCCCACTCAATGCCCTGGAGCTAGGAGGTCCCATGAGGCCCAGCTTTTCCATCCCCACAACTCCATGGCACACATGAAAATCAGGTATCAGAGAAAGGAATTAAATACTATTTCCAATTCTGTAAAGATGATGGTTCAGGTGCAGGCAGGCACAGCAGGAAGGGATCTAACCTTTTTCCCGGAGCTGGGAGTGTTACTCCATTCCAGACTTATGGGAGAGGAAAACCTTGATGACAGCAGGTTAAAATAGGAGTGGTCAAGAGCCTACAGGTGACTTCCTGCTTGACAAAGAGTAATTTCCAGTTCTGCTTTGCAGAGGGATGAGGAAGCTCTGAAGAAGAATAGAAAAATGGAATAGGTTAGATAGTGGAAAAAGCATTGGGAGTGTTTTCAGGTAGGGAAGGGAAGGCTATAAGATAAATTAGCCTGTCTTCACATTTCTGCTGAGTTATCCAAAGAGTAAGGACCAGTTACCTTCCATCGCTTCTGGTACTCCATTTGTTGCTGAATTGAGACTTGAAGGATTGAGACCAGGAGAAAGAGCCTCTTAACAATAAGGACTTTGTCCAGGAATAGGCCCCTGCTGCCCAGACCCTAGAGCAGTGATGGCGAACCTATGACATGCGTGTCAGAGGTGACACGCAAACTCATTTTTTTGGTTGATTTTTCTTTGTTAAATGGCATTCAGATGTATAAAATAAATATCAAAAATATAAGTCTTTGTTTTACTATGGTTGCAAATATCAAAAAATTTGTATGTGTGACACGGCACCAGAGTTAAGTTAGGGTTTTTCAAAATGCTGACACGCCGAGCTCAGAAGGTTCGCCATCACTGCCCTAGAGTCTCTCTTTGCCTGAAAGGCTGTCAGCCTGTCGCTGCCCTGTCAGCCTTAGCTGGGTGTGCACAGACAAAAGGCTGGCCAGGATGAACCTCCATTGGAGTCATGGTCTTAAGATGTCCAGCTACTCACTGCCCACTTTGCTTCCCCCTCCTCCCAGGCTGAACACCCAAACCCAGGAGTTCGGTATCCTGGCACCACTCGGGTGGCCTACCTCCCGGACTGCCCTGAGGGTAACAAGGTGCTGACCCTGTTCCGAAAGGCGTTTGACCAGCGTCTCACCTTCACTATTGGCACGTCAATGACCACAGGGAGACCGAATGTCATCACCTGGAACGACATCCACCACAAGACCAGCTGCACAGGGGGACCCCAGCTGTGGGACACTTCTTCATTTCCCTTTACTTGGCTCCTCCCCTTTGTCTGTTTCCACTGAGAGAACAACAATTCCCTCTCTGGGAGCCTCCTAATTGGAGTGGGCCAGCCCCAAATTATTCAACCATCTCTTCCATCCCAGTTTCTCCTACATTTAACCTGGTCCTGATATGCCCAGTTTAACCTGCAAAAATAAGCAGAATTGGGCTAATTTATCTTGGATTTGGATTACATTAGGGGAGGGAGCAGAGGGCCCACAATGGGGCACCCAGAAGGAGTGTGAGCATGGGGATAAAGCTGAACAGCTAACCCTGACCCTCATTTTTCTTTGCTTTCAGGTTTGGGTACCCAGATCCCACCTACTTGACCCGGGTGCAAGAGGAGCTGAGAGCCAAGGGTATCACAGATGATTGAAGGACATCCCTTTGCCAAGGCCCCTGCCTTTGTCCTCCACTAGGACCCAACAGAAGCCTCTGTTCTCCTCTCTCCCTCTGCTCCCCCATACCACACAGTAGGGGACCTGTCTGAACTGGGGAGGAGTTCAGAGAGGGATGGGGCAATCCCTTCCTCTGTCCCCACAGGCCAAGTGCTTCAGTGCAGTGTGAGCTGCTCCCCTCTGGCAGAGGCTGTCTCTCAGGCTCTGCTCCCTCTGGTGTACATACTCCCAGTCTTCCTGCCCCTTCCATTGCCCTTGGCTTTTTCTGGTCTTTCTGTGCTCCAGTGAGGACCTGGGTGGGGAGGGGAGGGGAGGGGTCTTGAACGCCCACTCCCATCCCATACCGTTCCACTGCTGAACTTCGGTGCAGGGGAGGGGGCATCAGCTGCTGGGAGCCCCCATGGAGCGGCCCTGTATGTTCTTCTTAACCAGTTCCCCATCTACCTTAACCTTGTCCTTTCCTGTGTCTCTGTTTGTCAGTCTGTCTCCTGCTCTTCTCTGCCCCCTATAAGGAGCCTCCTTACCCTGTTCTGGAACTGCCGCCAAACTGTAGCTTTTAATTTAATAAAAATAAAGTAAAATATGCAACTCTATGCCACACCCGTTCTGTTCTGTGGGCTGGTGGGGGTGGGGTGGGGAGCGGGACCTGCTGAGAAGGGGATGGGGGTGGATGAGGAAATCCCTGTGGGCCTCCGGGGGCTCTGCCTGCACAGGGCCTGGGGAAACGGCATGTACCTAGCGCGACCCACAATAACACTGCGAAGCCCCTGGTCACGCTTCGACTTGGAATCAGTATTAGAGGGGGTTGTTGATGCACCATGGTTGTAGGAAGGAACAACCCTATCCCTTTTGAAAAGTTTGGCTGGGGTGGGAGTGGGGGCGGAGCCGGGCAGGGGGCGGATTCGTCAGCAGCAACTCCCCGGACGCACGCAGGCCTCCGAGCCCCCCAGCTTCCGTACCCCTCGGCCTGAAACTTGGAGCTGGGTAGGGGTCCAGCATGAAGCCCCCGGACCGCCCCGCCCCTGGCCGCACTGACCGGATACTGGGGGTCATGGGGGGCATGCTGCGCGCATGCGCCCTACCCGGGCAGGAGGGGGTAAGAAAGGGCGAATGTGGTGGGGTTCGGCGGTCTTTAGGGGGTTTCAGGACGGCTGCACCCCACAACTCAATTTACTCGCAAAAACAAATTTTGCGGGGCACCCGCAGGAATCCAAGAGTTCCATTAAGAGGGCCATAGCCATGCTCTGGGTGAACCGTTCCCTCCACCCCGGCCCTGGCGACCCTTTCATAACAATGTGGGTTTTGACAGCAGGGAGAAGGGGAAGGGGAAGGTGAAGGCCGGGCGCGAAGGGCGGGCTCCTTACGATCCTTCTGTCCCCGCAGCCTCCGAAGAGAAGCCCCCTCGGGCCGGAAGGGACCGAGCCAGAGTCTGCCTGTACGGAGGGGGGTCAGAGAGGGGAGCGCGAACCTGAGGTCCCCGCTTGGTCTCCGCTGCCCGGTAAGAAGCTGGCGGTGGGGTGGGGCACAGTTTGCCATCCTGCGCAAAGTGGCAAGTGAAGAAAAAATGCTGCCCTTATTAGCATAAAGGTTCGCATCTAATTCGCATGAGACCCATTTCATCGCTGAGACCTCCGCGCTTCTTCTCGCCCTCTAGCCTGCTGTGTGTCCCCCACTCAGCCGGCCCGCGCCCCCGCGGGCGGAGTGTCCCCGCGCCCCACCCCTGGCCCCTCGCCAGCCCAGGCTCCAGGACTTCGCCTTAATTGGTGATTAGCTTCGGCTGGAGTCCCGGGCCAGGAGGAAAGAAGGGTCGGGTGAGAGGGCGGCACCTGGGCTGTGTTCCCCACAAGGAGCCCCCCATTCACCCACCCCCACCGGGTGGAGGGGGGGCCTGGTCCACCTCTGTCCGGCTAGGGACAGCCCAACCCCAGGCCATCTTCGCCCAGGCCCAGGCCGCCTCCATCGGGCTTTCTCCACCGCAGAGGCGGAGGGGCGATCCGTGCAGACCCCCCACGGGCTTACCCCCACCCCAGGGCTCTGCAGTCAGAGCCGGAGACGCAGGAAGGAGGGGAACCCCCGGGCTAGGGAGCCCAGGATGCGGAGGAGGGGCAGAGGCGCTGGGGACGTGGAGTGGGAACGTGGTGGTGCCTGGGGGAGGGGGGATTGGGGCGGGAACGCGACACGGGCTAAAGGGGGAACGCGAGGGAGAGGGCGGAGCTGGGCGCAGAGGCCCCTCCCCGCGGCGGCACAGCGGCTGGGCCTGTTATTCGTCTCGCCGCTCGGCCGGGACCCGCGCAGCGCCAGTGACTCGGGGAGTCGCCCCCCCCTCCCCTTCCCTGCCCGGGCCTAGAACCATCCCCAACCCGAGTGGCCGGAGACGGAGCTGAAGCGGCTGCCGCATCCCGGCCCCACCTCCCCCACCATCCCTCCCTCTCGCTGGACATCTGGACCCTGGGCCCCGCACCGACAGGGCTCCGGAAACCCTCCCCGCCCAGCCCCGCAGTCCGGCTCGCACCGCCCTCGCTGCGGAGCCCCCAGCCCTCCTGCAGACTAGACTTCCGCCTCCCCCTGGACGCCCCCTCCCGGTTCCCTCCCTCCCCCCCTGCCCCAGCCGGGAGCGGGGGTAGGAGGGAGGGGGGGTGTGCGCCCTGCTGCGTCCCCGCCCCGCCCCGCCCCCCGTGATTCCCCCTGCATGGCCGGCCCGGGTGGGGGGGACGGGGGGGCCCGGGCGCCATGCGGGAGGGGCACAAGGGGGGTCGCTGTGCCTGTCCCAATGTGATCCGAAAAGTGCTGGCAAAATGCGGCTGCTGCATCGCCCGGGGGGGACGTGGTGAGTGTGAGGTCTCCAGTGCTGAGCGTTGAATGGGGGTGGGCTGAGGGGTCAGGACTTATGTTCCTCCTGGCCCTAGGGGTTTAGAAGCTGGAGACGGTACCTGTATTTTCCAGGAAATACTTACTAGATGATCTCTAAGATCCCTTCTGCCTCCAAATTTCTAAGTAGTTAAGGAAATTGGGGAAGGGGCAGGGCTTTCCCGTAGTCAGCCAGGTCTGAGGAAAACCCTCTATCATCCCCTCTGGCCTAGAACCGCATCTTCCCTCAAATCCTTTTGCTAAGATTCTACTTCAGCTCTGAGGAGGGACAGAGGGATGGAGGGATGAGGAATGAGAGGATCGACCAGGGGCTTTCTTAAAAATCGCAGCTCCTCTGTCCCTGAGCCCAGGCCAAAAATAACCCCGATAAGCTTTCCTCACTTGCCCCTTCCATTGGGTCTGCGCCTGTTGGGGAGGTGGGCTACAGATGCCTTTTTTGATGATAGTGATTACTGAAATTGGTGGAGGAGGGGATTGGGGGTGGCAGATGTGCTCTTAGCTCTTCATACCCCCCTTCTCAGAGAATGGTTTGTACCCACTGGAAGGGGGAGGGCTGTAGGAGAGCAGATGGCCACCCCCAGCTTCCAGTGTCTGTCCAGATGGCTGCCCCCACCCCCATATCTGTGCCATGCTCAGGCTATCGGGGAACCTCCACGTGTTACTGGGGGGTTCCAGGCCTGGGGAGCCAGGCATTTACTGTCCTTCCAAGGGTGCCCTGGTGAAATTTTCTATCCTGGCTAACTCAAATGAGGATGGTAATAGAGTGAGCCCTGGGAAGAAGGGATGAGCATTATAGAGAGGAGACTCAGAGCTTCCTAGGGATCCTGAGTCTGGAGCTAGAGCAATATCTATCAACCCTTTTCTTTCTCCCCACCCCCTTAGAATCCTACTCCATTGCTGACAGTGAGGGGAGTATCTCGGCTTCAGCTGCCTCGGGTCTGGCTGTTCCCTCTGGCCCCACCTCTGGCTTCAGCTCTGAACCCTGTTCCCCCGGCCCACCAGGGCCCAGCAGTGGCTTGAGAAGATGGTTGGATCACTCCAAACATTGTCTTAGTGTGGAAACTGAAGTAGATGGTGGCCAGGCTGGACCATATGAGGTGAGCAGGGAACACCACAGAAGCATGTAGGACATCCATGTAGGACACTGGGAGAGAAGACAAGTTGGGGGCTATTGGTAAATGGGGAGACACAGCTACTGTCCCTGACCTCCGGCACTTGACCTTGGCCCCTAGAACTGGATGCTGGAACCAGCTCTAGCCACAGGAGAGGAACTTCCAGAATTGACCCTGCTGACCACACTGTTGGAGGGCCCCGGAGGTGAGACGAAGGTATGATGATGAAATGGGTCTGGGTGTCTCCCCTCACCCAAGAGGCATCCATTTGCTTCCTCTAGGACAGTGGTTCTCAACCTTCTGGCCCTTTAAATACAGTCCCTCATGTAGTGACCCAACCATAAAATTATTTTCATTGCTACTTCATAACTGTAATGTTGCTACTGTTATGAATCGTAATGTAAATATCTGATATGCAGGATGGTCTTAGGCGACCCCTGTGAAAGGGTCGTTCAACCGCCAAAGGGGTCGCGACCCACAGGTTGAGAACCGCTGCCCTAGGATGTTCTTTTCTTTCAGCTACCTGAGGAGGAGAGTTTGTCCCAAGCCCCTGAGAGTGAGGAGGAACAGAAAAAGAAGGCTCTGGAAAGGAGTATGTAAGTGTCCCCACACTCTCCCGTCCTCTCTGCCACTCTACAATGCCCAGAGGACTATCCCTCACATTTTAGATTTGAGAATTGGAATTTCCTCTGGGGTTGGCTGTGGAAATGAAAGGGCTTCTAGTCCAGGAGGGAGAAAGTGTCTAAACCAAGGATGTGCACTCCTTTCTTCCCAGGTATGTCCTCGGTGAACTGGTAGAGACAGAGAAAATGTATGTGGAGGACTTAGGGCAGATTGTGGAGGTAACTCCCTTTTCCCTTCCCAGCCCTGACCCAGCCCTTTTCCTCTGCCCAGGGCTAATTATAACAGATGCCTTGCAAAGGCTGGCATAGCTTAGGGGTTGAGTGTCGGCCTATGAACCAGGAGGTCATCGTTCGATTCCTGGTCAGGGCATATGCCCGAGGTTGTGGGCTCCATCCCCAGTATGGGGCGTACAGGAGGCAGCTGATCGATGATTCTCATCATTGACATTTCTGTCTCTCTCTCTCCCTCTCCCTTCCTCTCTGAACTAAATAAAAATATATTTTTTTAAAAATAGGCTGAAACCGGTTTGGCTCAGTGGATAGAGCATCGGCCTGCGGACTGAAAGGTCCCGGGTTCGGTTCCGGTCAAGGGCATATACCCAGGTTGCGGGCACATCCCCAGTGGGAGATGTGCGGGAGGCAGCTGATCGATGTTTCTAACTTTCTATCTCTCTCCCTTCCTCTCTGTGAAAAATTAATAAAATATATTAAAAAAAAATAGAAAAAAACGGCCCTGATAAGGTTGGGACAGCCCCGGTGAGGTCGAAACGGCCCTGGTGAGGTCGGGATGGCCTGGTGAGGTTGGGACGGCCCTGGTGAGGTTGAAACGAATAATGGGGACCAGTATAGACTGATGAACAGGGGTAGATGCAGAGGCAGAGCAGCATTGAATAGACTGTCAAACTACAGTGGGAAGCCTGGGGTGGGTTTGGGGGGTGTTAAGAGATCAACTGAAGGACTTATATGCATGCATATAAGAATAACCAATGGACACAAGACACTGGGGGGTAGGGGAGGCCGGGAGAGTGTCAAGGGGGGGGGGGGAGGAGACATATGTAATACTCTTTGTAATACTTTAAGAAATAAAAATTATATTACAGATGATGTCTTTTAGAATTATATACCTAAACCTACATAATTTTATTAACCAATGTCACCCCAATAAATTCAATTAAAAATTAAAAAAAAAGAAATAAAAATTATTTTTAAAAAATAGAAGAAAAAGGAAACAAGAATAAAAGATGCCTTGATGCTCCTTTGTCCCACCTTCCCAATCCCCCTACATCCTGCACTTATTACGGAGGTAGCGTTCCCACCAGGACTGGCCCCACATACCTATGTTCCCACCCCAAACTTCCCATAGGGTTACATGGCCACCATGGCTGCTCAGGGGGTCCCAGAGAATCTTCGAGGCCGTGACAGGATTGTGTTTGGGAACATCCAGCAAATCTACGAGTGGCATCGAGAGTGAGTGGTGGAGCCCTAAAAGCAAGGGTGGGGTGGGGGGCATATGTCTGGTTGCCTCAGCGTCCCATCCACGGCCCAGGAGCTATTGTTGCCTGAGGAGGGTTTGGAGAGGCTTCAAGGGGAACATTACTAGGGCAGACAGCCCTAAATTGCAGGGGTGGGGATATTTGACCTATCTTTTCCCTGGCAACCCCGCTAGCTATCTCCTGGGGGAACTACAGCGGTGTTTGAAGGATCCTGATTGGCTGGCTCAGCTATTCATCAAACACGTGAGGCTTGAGAGGGTGGTGTGGGGAGGAGGTGGGGGGGGGGGGGGCTTGCGAGTGGATGGGACTGCGGAAGTGCTCTTCCTTTTCACTCATCCTGCTCTTGCTTAAACTTCACACCTCCTAGGAGCGCCGGCTGCATATGTATGTGGTATACTGTCAGAATAAACCCAAATCAGAGCATGTGGTGTCAGAATTTGGGGACAGCTACTTTGAGGTCAGTGGCTGAGGTGCCTTGGGAAAAGAGGGACAGAATCATCATGAGCAGGCTTTCCAGGCTGCATAACCACTGTGTATCCCTGTGTCCAGGAGCTCCGGCAGCAGCTAGGGCACCGCTTGCAGCTCAATGATCTTCTCATCAAACCAGTGCAGAGGATCATGAAATACCAGCTGCTGCTCAAGGTCAGGACCACCTTCCAGCTGGCTGGGACAGCTCTTCCTTCCTTCATCTCCTCAGGGTTCCTAAGGCTTCCCCAGACTTCCTAGAGGCCTTCACCTGTGTCCTGGGAGAGGTTGTGAGAGCTTCTGAGAATGTCCTCATGACCTCCCTGAACATTCTTTTCTGTGTCTTAGGATTTTCTCAAGTATTATAGTAGAGCTGGGATGGATACTGAAGAGCTGGAGGTGAGGACTTCTAGGTCTTCCAGGACACATCACACAAACCTTTATCTTCTTAGTCTCCAGGATCCCCCCAGCTCCTTGGGTGGTATAGAGCTGTCTGGTTTTTAGGGGAGGCTGGCGGGGGTCAAAACATGGCTCCTTCCCAATGACAGTGCTTCTCTCTTCACTTGCATCCCAGCGAGCGGTGGAAGTCATGTGCTTCGTGCCCAAGCGCTGTAATGACATGATGACCCTGGGGAGATTGCGGGGATTTGAGGTATGGGGATGGAGCAGGAACCCTGAGGACCAGTGCTCTTCTGTCTCAGTTTGAGATTCAGGAAGTCCTATGGGGAATTGTCCTCTCCTGGTGCTACCCTATGGTTGGTTGGGAGTGTCAGGGGAAGGAGGGAGGAGCAGAAGTTCCCTCTTTTTTCTTCTTGTTTTTTTCTGGAAGACCACTGTCCTTTGGTTCTAGGGCAAACTGACTGCTCAGGGGAAGCTCTTGGGCCAGGACACATTCTGGGTCACAGAGCCTGAGGCTGGGGGGCTTCTTTCCTCCCGGGGTCGAGAGCGGCGTGTCTTCCTCTTTGAGCAAATCGTCATCTTCAGTGAGGCCTTGGGAGGAGGAGTGCGAGGTGGAACACAGCCTGGATATGTGTACAAGAGCAGCATCAAGGTGGGGAGGGGGCTATAAGGGACGGGTTTGACTGGGAGAGGGGGAGGCCTCTGAGAGGATGCCTGGCTCTTGGATTTGTTGGAGGAGGCAGGAGCCAGAGAGGGCCTGAAGAATTTGGGGGCACTATCTCCTATTTGCCAATCCAGGTGAGCTGCCTTGGACTGGAGGGGAACCTCCAAGGTGACCCATGCCGCTTTGCTCTGACCTCCAGAGGGCCAGAGGGTGGGATCCAGCGCTATGTCCTGCAGACTGCAGACCCTGCAGTTAGTCAGGCCTGGATCAAGCAAGTGGCTCAGATCCTGGAAAGCCAGCGGGACTTTCTCAATGGTGAGTTCTCACCCTCTCTCCTCCACATGGTCCCTTCTGAATCCCTCACTGCCCAATCTCCCATCCCTGCCCTCTGACCCTGGCTTCACTTTGTCCCCTATTCCCACTTTCCACTAATAGCTCAGGAATTGGTAACTCAGCCCTAGCTGGTTTGGCTCAGTAGATAGAGTGTCGGCCTGAGGACTGAAGGATCCCAGGTTCGATTCCGGTCAAGGGCACATGCCGGGGTTGTGGGCTCAATCCCCAGTTGGGGGTGTGCAGGAGGCAGCCCATCAGTGATTCTCTCTCATCATTGATGTTTCTCTCTCCCTCTCCCTTCCTCTCTGAAATCAATAAAAATACTATATAATAAAAGAGTAATATGCAAATTGACCGTCACTCCAACACACAAGATGGCCACCCCCATGTGGACACAAGATGGCCACCACAAGATGGCCAGAGAGGAGGGCAATTGTGGGCGATCAGGCTGACAAGGGAGGGCAGTTAGGGGGGACCGGGCCAGCAGGGGAGGGCAGTTAGGGGAAATTGGGCCAGCAGGGGAGCAGTTAGGTGTTGATTAGGCCGGCAGGGGAGTGGTTAGGGGCAATCAGGCAGGCAGGCGAGCAGTTAGGAGCCAGAAGTCCTGGATTCCACTGGGATTGGCCTAAACCGGCAGTTGGACATCCCTCGAGGGATTCCAGATTGGAGAGGGTGCAAGCTGGGCTGAGAGACACCCTTCCCCCCCACCTGCACAAATTTTGTACACCGGGCCTCTAGTATATTTAAAAAAATTGGTGCCCTAACCGGTTTTGCTCAGTGGATAGAGCTTCGGCCTGTGGACTGAAGGGTCCCAGGTTCGATTCTGGTCAAGGGCATGTACCTTGGCTCCAGGCACATCCCCAGTAGGGGGTGTGCAGGAGGCAGCTGAATTGATGTTTCTCTCTCATCAATGTTTCTAACTCTCTATCCCTCTCCCTTCCTCTCTGCAAAAAATCAATAAAATATTTTAAAAAAATAAAAAATAAAAAATAAAAAAATTGGTAACTCAGAATCCTCTAAAGGTCAATTTACATGGATGACACCTTTGGAGGGAGAGCAAAATGGGAGGATAGCCTGAGCAGAATGCTGAGGGAGAGGACCTGTCTCTGCTGTAACCTTCCTTCTGTTCTTCTCTTTGCCCCAGCATTGCAATCACCCATTGAATACCAGAGACGGGAGAGCCAGACCAACAGCCTGGGGCGGCCAGGAGGGCTTGGAGTGGGAAGCCCTGGGAAAATGCGGCCTGGAGACCGGGCCCAGGTCAGCACACACAGGCCCATCAATGGCTCTCTTCCTTCCCTGCTGCTGTTACCCAAAGGGGAGGTGGCCAGAGGCCCCCTGCCCCTGGACACACAGGTATGAAGAATGATGTTTCCTGGCAATAGGGGTAGAATGGGGAGGGCCTCTCTTGTTCCAGGATCCCCAAATCCTTCTCCCCAATATCATTCCTCTTCCACCACCTTCCTTCTGTCTACTCCTTTCTATTTCCCATCTTTTACCCTCCTCCCTCCACTTTAATTGATGGTCTCAGGTAATCTAAGATGTCTGGCAAAAGGTGGCTTCACTAGGGGCTTACACTGAAAAAAGAGGAGTCAGGGTGGATTCCTGAACTTTTTTGATCCTCCAATTTGAGTCTTTCTTCAGGCCCTCAGTGACATCCCCCAGATTCCTCGTGACTCTCCTTCAGCTCCACCAATTTCAAACACCCCTCCCTGCCAGGCCAGACTTGCCAAGTTGGATGAAGATGAGCTGTAACTGGTAAAGACCATAGGGGTGGTGCTGACTCAGCTACTCTCTTCCCCAAGGAACTTCAGGGCAATCCTTCTGGCACTGCTCCAGAATTCCTCCCTCTGGGTGTGTCTGGAGGTGGGCAAGGCCGGGAGTGGTGTCAGCTTGGAGGAGGGTACCTAAACTCAAAAAGACTTCTTTCTGTCCTGGGAACACAGGTTCCTTCAGCTCCCACCCCTATGCATGCATCACAGGTCCCCCACAAAAGAAGGATATGTGGGTGGGTGGGAGGGCTAGGGCAAGGGCCAAATAGAAAATATTGGTTTTGATTTTGTTTTTTCTGTTTTCTGAGAATAAAGGTTTTGTTATATCATGGAGGCTACTGTCTTGGCAGAGGGAAGGGGAGGCTTTGGTAAGGGCAAGTGGGGTGAAGTGGTATGGAAGAGATCAGCTCACCTCTCAAATCAGTTTGAGCAGGGGTCTGGTGAAAGGAGAAGGGCACAGGCTGTAAGATAAAGGACGTTGCTATCTCTCAGTCCAGGCCTTGGGGCCACTGGAAACTCTAGATCCTTGATGAATCCTCCACTTTACCCAGCCCTTCTTTCTCTCTCATTTGGCCTCTGATCTAGACCCCAATGGAAAGCCCAATGTAATCTGATTTCCCACTACTCCCCCAAAAGCCAGACGCTAAAGTACCAAATGCCAATGTACCTTTCCTTCTGAGGCCTCCATGTTCAGCTGAGGTAGAATGGGAAGGTGGAGAGGATGCTGGAGACCACGGCCCCTTCAGTCTCTGGGTCTTCTTATTTTTGCTGTCTGGGAAGTCATAAGGCATATCCACACTGAACAGGAATGGATTTCTCTTCAAGCCATAGACCCAAGATTGTAGAGGCCAAAGGGGTCTTCACCCCTCCCAACTTCTGGAACAGCTCCGGGGACAGAGAAAGCTAAACGTGCAGAGATCCATGTCCAGATTCCCTGTCCTGGGTCCTTGGTCATTGGTGTGCCACTGTCCCTTTGTCCCCTGGGCCTGGTCACGTGTACTTGGGCTTCCTCAGCAGACAATGGACTGCTAGGGTGGGGGTGGTGAGGAGGAGCTGGAGCCTCCCTGTGGGGCTGAGGTCCCTCTGGCTGACAATGGGGGGAGGGGCCTCAAGGGGGAGACAGGACGTACAGCCCAGATAAGACTTCAGGGGAACAATAGAAGGAATTGAAGAAGGGAGACCCACCCTCACTGTTCCCCACCCCTAGGACTTTGGGGTCAGGGACTGGGGACCAGAGGGTGATGGGGAGGGGTGCTAAGGATTCTTGTGAGTGGAGGAGGGGATGGGGCAGATAGGATTCTAGAGCTCAGAACCTCTGTATCTTGTTAGGGATCAGTGGGGTACATGAGGTGGGTGGGTGGGTGGGGGACTTTTGTGCCTAATATAACCACAAATGTGCGTTTGAGTGCCTACTTTGTGACTTGCACTTGTATGTAATATATGGTGTTTCAGGTTTTTTGGCTTCTAAGAAATAAAATAAAAATTTCCTATCAGGCCCTAGCCAGTTTGGCTCACTGGATAGAGCATCAGCCTGGGGACTGAAGGGTCCCGGGTTCGATTCCAGTCAAGGGCATGTACCTTGGTTGCAGGCACATCCCCAGTGGGGGGGGTGCGGGAGGCAGCTGGTCGATGCTTCTCTCTCATTCATGTTTCTAGCTCTTTATCCCTCTCCCTTCCTCTCTGTAAAAAATCAATAAAATATATATATTTTTAAAAAGATTTCCTATCAGTTCAGTATTCTTCCTGGGGTCCTGAACTGGGGATTTAGGCTCAGGCTGTCCTGTCAAAGATGTGGAGTGGTGGTTCTCTGTCATCCCGTCTAACACATATATCTGCTTCCCATCTCAGTTGTTTGTGGAACTGAAGAGGCCAGGAGACCTCCTTACACTTTCTTGGGGACCACCTGAGCCCAAGAGGCTTTGGGTCTGGGGAAAGGAGAAGCTGGGGTCGGAACCGCTGCACTTTCTTGCTCTGGCGGGGAGTGCAGCGGCTCTAGGAATGAACCTAGGGGAGCCAGCTTCTGTCTTGGCCCAAAGTATCGATTCCAAGGGAACTCAGTGAAGAGGTGGAGAGTGCAAAGGCTTAGATGTGGTAGATAGTGGGGGTTAGTTGTTTGGCTTCTCTCCCAGGTCCCTAAACCTTTGCACAGCCCTCTCCCATAGCAGACTCCAGGGCTTGCGACTGGGCCAAGGACACCTGAGAAAACGCCTAACAGAGAGACGCCCCCTCCCCAAGCTGCAGCTCTTGGGCTGGTAGAAGGGCGCCCCCAGGGCCGGATTGGGCCCTGCTTCAGGGAGGCGGGACCCAGGCTAGCCGGTGGAGGGGTATTTAAGACTGGGCGGAGCTGGAGGTGGCCAAGGGCAAAATGAGTGGGCTACTGGGCGCCAGGACCTGCTCAAGCCCAGGAGAGGCCTCCGACCTTAAGTTCCCACTGGGCGCCAAGCTCAGGGAACCTCTCACCCAGGCGCGGTTCCAGCAGCTCTTCGGGGGCGCGGAGCAGGCGCAGGATCTACTCGCCGAGTCCCGCTGGTCCGGGCTGTGCCGACTGTGGAGGCGGCGGGCCTGCGCCTGTTCCGGGCCGGGGGCGTGGCGCCTGCTGCTGGCGCGGCTGCCCCCGCTGCGCTGGCTGCCTCAGTACCGCTGGAGGGCCTGGCTGCTCGGGGATGCGGTGGCTGGAGTGACCGTGGGCATCGTGCACGTGCCCCAGGGTGAGCGGCCCCAACACCAACCTGTCAGAGGGCCGGGGAGACCCAGGGGGTGGGAACAACTCGGGAGCGAGGTGGTGGGTTCGTGGGGTTGGGGGTTCGGAGACAAGTTCTGGGTAAGGACTGTGGAGCTCCATCAGAGCCCCACCCCCAGCTGCCCTCATCTGCGCAATCCTTCGAGAAGTCTTAGACCCGTTCCGGCTCAGGGAACTGGAGAGAAGAGAGGAGCACAAGGCCTGCCCCCCAGGTCTCCGCCGGGGTTCTGGATCTGTGACCTTGTCCACCCAGCGACTTCCCCCCAGGCCCGTTAACCCCTCAGCTCCCTCTTGTGGCAAGGCTTAGCGTCCCCTTGCCAGCCTCTAAGAGGGGAGAGGGGGCAGCATCCTGAAGCTGGGCGCCCTCCATCCCTCCGCCCCATCGAAGGTCTTTCCTTCCACCCCCTCCCCCCCAGGCATGGCTTTTGCCCTCTTGACCTCCGTGCCCCCTGTGTTTGGCCTCTACACGTCTTTCTTTCCCATCCTCATCTACACCTTGTTGGGTACTGGAAGACACCTGTCCACAGGTGAGTGACCCGGTGACCTCTGCGGGGTGAAAATGGACAGGGGTTTGAGGCTTCGGTTCTTGTAAGCTCCCTACCTCTCATCCCCCAACTCACCACCGTTCCCCTGCCATGACCTCTGACCTAGGCAATGCTTGTTGGGGGTGCAACGGGGTGGGAGTTTACTCAGACTTTTTCGTCCTCGTGAAATTGGGTTAACTTCTCTGGGGTTCGGAAGAGGGCAGAAGAGATGTGCAGTCACCGCAAGGGGCACACAGTCCCCGGCGATTGCAGGAGGGGGTGGCGGTGCAGTCGGGACGGCTTTTGCGGTTGTTGCCCTCTCCTAACCTCCCTGGTTCCCGGCTTCTGCACCGGCTTGGCCTCGCGGTCTTCACCCGAGCGCTGCTCGGAGGGAGCGAGGTCCCACCCCCCGCCGCCCGGGCCGAAAACGCAGCGCCTGGGCTGGCGCAGCGCCCCCCGCGGCACAACTGGTCATTTCTGCGGGTGTCCTCCGGCCCTAGGAACGTTCGCCGTGCTCAGCCTCATGACCGGCTCCGCCGTGGAGCGGCTAGTGCCCGAGCCGCTCGGGGGGAACCTGAGCGCAATCGAGAAGGAGCAGTTGGACGCTCAGCGGGTTGGGGCAGCTGCGGCCTTGGCCTTTGGGAGCGGGGCGTTGATGGTGAGGGAAGACCCTGGGGGGGCGGGGGCCCACGCTGAGGGCCTGGGGAAACCGAGCCAGGGGAAAGGGTGGGGCAGGTGCGCCAGGAAACGGGCGCGCTGCGTTCCCGCTGTGACTGGGCATCTTCCTCCCACAGCTGGGGATGTTCGCGCTGCAGCTCGGCGTCCTGTCCACCTTCCTGTCCGAGCCCGTGGTTAAAGCGCTGACCAGCGGGGCCGCGCTGCATGTGCTTGTGTCCCAACTGCCGAGCCTTTTGGGGTTGCGCCTCCCGCGCCAGATCGGCTGCTTCGCTCTCTTCAAGGTGGGCGGGGGTGGGTGGGCAACAGGAAAGAGGTTCCAGCGGTCCCGGCGGAGGGCCACCGGAAAAGGAAGGCAGGAAGGACGAGTGGATGGAGAGATGTGTGTAACGAGGCGGGGCGGAGGAAAGGTTAGACCCAGAAGCTGAATGAGGGTCGCCGTGGAGGCGGGAGCCCAGATGGGAGCCGGGAGAGCCTTGCCTGGGTCTGGTGGGTCCGCCGGGGACAGTCGCCCCTAGCTCGGGGCCCTCTGCTCCCCGCCCGTCCGCAGACGCTGGCCGCTGTGCTGACCGCACTGCCCCAGAGCAGTCCGGCCGAACTGACCATCTCCGCACTCAGCCTGGCGCTGCTCGTGCCGGTCAAGGAACTGAACGTGAGATTCCGAGACAGGCTCCCCACCCCGATCCCAGGGGAGATCGTCATGGTGAGGATGGCTCTTGGGTACCGGCCCCCTGCGCCTCACAAACCCTGCCCATCCTTAGGAGCTGGCCGCTGCCGCCCCCTAGCGGAACGCAGGGGGGCCGCAGCCGGGAGGTCCTGCTTACACAAGCCCTTTGCTAGGCTGCTTCCCAGAACACGCTGACCCTCCGGAATCCCCCACCGCACGTCCCCTCTCCTCTCGCGGAGTTCCCGCTGCAACTCTTCCTGCGCCTTCTTCCTCCGAACAGCGCTCCCGTGCGGCGTCGCTCGGCAGAGCGCCTCCACTCCCATCTCTCTCCTGGCCGGGTCCTTCCCTGTAACTCCCTTTCCCTTCCCAACCTACCTACGTTTCTCTTTCCAAGTAAATAAATGTTCAACGTCTCCAAAGATACCCTACGTATCCGCAGACAGAGCCAAACTTCCCTACTTAGAATGGCTCGGTTTTGCCTCCTAATACCCACCTGCCTCTCTCATAGGCGCCTCCCCCCCGCCCCGCCCGCCTTTTCCTACCACCCACCTCTCTCCGCATAGCCCCTGATAGGTATCGTTCCTCTTTTCATCCCCACTCTCCTTCACTCGAAATTAGTTGTCGGGCAGCCATCTCAAACACATCCAAGCTCCCCCAGTTGCTAGGCTCCGGCAACCACCTAATCCTGCATTTTGATCCTTTCTCCTGTTGAGCCCTTGTAGCCTCTGCGGTGGGGGGACGGGGGGGGGGGGGGGGGACGGGACACCCATTTCCTCCCATGCCCTAATATATGCTCTTCCCCAGGTGCTCCTGGCCTCTGTGCTCTGCTTCACCTCTTCCCTGGACACGAGATACAACGTCCAGATAGTGGGGCTGCTGCCTGGAGGGTAAGAGAGAATGAAGGAACACCAGCTTTCTCCTCTCACCCACAACATCCCCTTTTGTCCTGCTCCACCCTTTTTGTCTCTGTCTTCCCTATACTCCTTGTTATACCCAGCCCATCCTTACCTTGGATCCCTCTCTCTCCAGATTTCCCGAGCCGCTCCTCCCCAACCTGGCTGAGCTGCCTAGGATTCTGGGTGACTCACTGCCCATCGCGCTGGTTGCTTTTGCGGTGTCCGCCTCCCTGGCCTCCATCTATGCAGACAAGTATAGCTACGCGATTGACTCCAACCAGGTGTGACTCCCACTGAGGACTCCAGCCTCATTCAGGAGACAGCCCCCTAATGTTACCTCCCCATGCCTTTGTCTCTCTCTTCATCTCACTCTTCACCCCAGGAACTCTTGGCTCATGGTGCCTCCAACCTCATCTCCTCGCTGTTCTCTTGCTTTCCCAACTCGGCCACATTGGCCACCACCAGCCTACTAGTGGATGCTGGTGGAAACACCCAGGTAAGAGTGTGCCCTTGAGTGAGGAGAAAGGGTGGGGTGGGGAAGGGGGACGTCCGGTCCAGGTGGTGGAGAAACAGGTGGCAGCTGTAGAAAGGAGGCTGGGACTCTGTGAGGGAGGGTGAAGGAGGGGATGGGATTATCTAGGTCGGAGAGAAAGAAGACACTAAGTTCCATTAAGACCTTTACTGTAAGCACTTAACAAGCTTATGGTGCCCCATATGTAGTTCAAAGTAAAAACATAACTAAACTGTAAAATAAATTTGAGACAAAATTCTAATTTTTTTCCCATAAGGACATTTTCAGTTAAAAAGAAATATCACATATCAAAGTCTCCCCTAATATTTTTATATTTTTGGTTTCTGCTACTCCGTTGGTGCCCTAAGCATGTGGTTAGCCTGCTTTTAGGGTAATCCCACAGTGGCTTTTAAGATGGAGGTGGGTTACAAAAATAGAGAGGTTGAACTACATCTAAGGGAGACTAGCGAATGAGGCATTTAATTGGGCGGAAAGGGAAGGGTAGGTGTGAATGGCAGAATATCAAGAAGCTCTTGCCGAAACCGGTTTGGCTCAGTGGATGGAGCGTCGGCCTGCGGACTGAGGGGTCCCAGGTTCGATTCTGGTCAAGGGCATGTACCTGGGTTGCGGGCACATCCCCAGTGGGAGATGTGCAGGAGGCAGCTGATCGATGTTCCTCTCTCATCGATGTTTCTAGCTCTCTGTCTCTCTCCCTTCCTCTCTGTGGAAGATCAATAAAATATATTTAAAAAAAAAAAAAAAAGCTCTTGAAGAGTGAGGAATATCTGTGTGGAAAGGGACTTGGGAGGACAGAGACTTTGGAGGAAGATGAGGAGACCACCTCTCACATGAGGGTGGGTGAGGTTCCCTTCCTTTTTTGCTTCCATTGACCCTTCCCTGCAGCTGGCAGGCCTCTTCTCCTGCATGGTTGTCCTGTCAGTGCTGCTGTGGCTGGGACCCTTCTTCTACTACCTGCCTAAGGTAAGGAGCAGAGGCAGTGTGTGGGGGGACCTGGGCGGGTGGCTATATCCCAGAGTATTGGGGTGGTTAGTTCCTTTCCTCTGCTCCAAGGCTGTCCTGGCCTGCATCAACATCTCCAGCATGCGCCAGATGTTCTTCCAGATGCAGGAACTTCCACAACTATGGCGCATCAGCCGCATGGACTTTGTGAGAAACAGCAGCATTGCCCTCTCCCGCTTTCCCAGCACCCCCAGCCTCTGCCCTGAATCAAAGCTAATTGTCCTAGTCCTAAATTCTGTAAACCCCCCCCCCCCCAACATGCATACCTCCTAATCCCTGTCCTCCGAGACAAGGTGAGGGGTGGGGTTTGAACCCCTTCAGACCTGAATATTTTTAACTCCCCAGGTGGTGCAAGGTCTGGGGTCAGTATGTTTGGTGTGTATCCATCGTTGGGTCAGTCCTATCCCTCCCTTCTGTCTTTCTTCCTGCCTTCTCTTGAGCCATCCCTCCCCATCACTTGCCCTGGCAGCCACTGCCCCTGGACCCTTTTCCTTAGCAGCGATGGCCTGGCATTTCCCTTCCATCTCTGTCCTGCAGGCCGTGTGGATGGTCACATGGGTGTCTGTGGTGACCCTGAGCGTGGACCTGGGCCTGGCCGTAGGTGTGGTCTTCTCCATGATGACTGTGGTCTGCCGTACCCAGAGGTGGGAGTAGAAATGAGGGGTGTCAAGATGAAGGGAGGGGAGAGAACAGAGTGCTTGGGGTGACTTTTCAGCCAGGCCAGGCTGGGAATCTGACCCGTTTCCTGCCTAGGGTGCAGTGTGTGGCACTTGGACTAGCTGAGGGGACGGAGCTCTACAGGCCACTCCAAGAGAGCCACAAGGTGGGTGGGCTACAGCCAAAGAGGGAAGGGGTGATTAGACCCGGATGTTTCTCTGACCCTCTGACCCTCTGACCCTCTGACCCTCTGACCCCTTAGCTCCTCCAGGTCCCAGGGCTCTGCATCCTGAGCTACCCAACACCTCTCTACTTTGGAACCCGTGGGCAGTTTCGCCATAACTTAGAGTGGCACCTGGGGCTTGGCAGAGGCAAGGTGAGGGGCTTGGTCAAAGGGAGTGTGGCTTCTCTGTGAGTGGGAGGCACGTGAGTTTCTGAGGGGGATCCTTGTGCTCAAGGTGTGCACGGTCATGCTTGTGCCTCACAAGTGGTGACCGCTCTTTTCTATCACAGGAGACTCCAAAGGTAGATGGCCCACCTGATGCCGGTGAGATGGGATGACAGGAGGAAGGTTTGGGAATAATCCCTGGGAGCCTCTGGGGACCCTGCCTTCTCCCATCCTAGTTGCTGAGCCTGTCAGAGTGGTGGTCCTAGACTGCAGTGGTGTCGCCTTCGCAGATGCTGCTGGGGCCAGAGAAGTGGTACAGGTGAGGGCGAGGGAGGTTGAGGAGAAACTCCCCTTATCCTCCCAGGCACACCCTCTGATGTAGGGTGTAACCCCCTGCCCCACCTCTGCAGCTGGCCAGCAGATGCCAAGATGCTGGGATCCACCTTCTCCTGGCTCAGTGTAATGGTGAGAGGTGTGGAGCATGGAGGGAACTGGAGACGGGGGGATGGCCGGACACTTGGGGGAGAGAAGGGGACACAGCGTGGACTTAGAACCTGAGAGCCTGGCCCCCTCTCCACACAGCCTCAGTGCTCAGGACACTGACCCAGGCAGGACTCCTGGACAGAGTGACCCCAGAGCAGCTGTTTGTGAGTGTCCAGGATGCAGCTGCTCATGCCCTGGAGAGACTGGTGAGGGGACACTAGCCACAGGGGTGGAAGCCAGGAGGTGCTGGGCTGTAGCCAGGGAGGTGCGAGTCAGTGGCTGAAGATCCAGGCAGAGGGAGTTAAGAAGGGCGCTGAGGAGGAAGATGAAGGAAGGGATGGGGATGAAATGATTAGTTAATTTATCAAGACTAAGCCAGGGAACCCTGGCCGAATGGCTCAGTTGGTTGGAACGTCTTCCTATATATCAATAATAACAACAATAATAACACTGATAATAATAATAATAAATTTTCGGGTTTGATTTCTGTTCAGAGCACATACCTATGTTGTGGGTCCAGTCCCTAGTCAGGGCGCATAGAGGAGGCATCTGATGGATGTTTCTCTCTCACATCAGTGTCTCTCTATCTCTTTCCCCTCCTCTCTCTCTCTTTCTCTAATCAATAAACGTATTTTGGGTTGAGAATTAAAAAAAGACTAAGCCAGAGAGAATGGGCTCAGCTATGGGTGAAGAACTGAGTAACTTAAGGTCCCAGAGGGGTTGGTGTGCCCCTCAGACTGCCAAGTCCTGGATGAGGAAGGGCGGGGCACCTAACCTATTCCTGACCCGTGCCCTCCCTTTTTCAGGAGCTCACTGGTCCGAAGACTTGCACAGTCTGGGTCTGACCGGGTCACGTGGAGTATGGAAGGCCCAGCAATGTGTGTGTGAGGGCCGTGGCCCTCGAGCCCCCTGACTTGATGTAACTAATAAAATAAAGCCGAGAGCCTCTGGGATTCATGAAGCGAGTCTGGGTGTCTGCACAGCGGCCCCTGGGGCCCCTTCCTCCATGCCCACAGCATTGCAGAGACACAACTAAAAATGCTTTCACCTGTGTGTTCACTGGCCCTCACCCCAGCTCCAGTCACCAGGTCTCTCCATGGGGGTGGGGGTGCGGCTGCAGCCGGTGCACAGTCCTGGATCCAGAGATGGGGGAGGCGGCGCAGTCCTGGGGATACATGTTGGGGCCTTCCCCACCCACTCAGTCACCAGGAGATGAGTGTTTCCACTTTAGGTTCTTAGAGTCCTTTGGGCTCTTTGGCACTTGGACAGTGACTTCCCACCTCCATGAGAGGGGTGGAGGGAGGACTTGGCACTGGCTGTGGGACGAGTTATGGCTCCACCACACCCCTGGGCACTCACAGAAAGGAGGAGTGTCACCAGGACTAGCCCCTATTTGGGATCAGGTTCTGAAGGGGATTGGGGACAGTCAGTGGAGTGGTCACTGGGTAGTGAGTGGGGTTTGCTAGAAATTTCTGGTAGGGACAAGAAGGCAGGCCCAGCCTGTCCGTTGAAAGGCCCTGAGTGGCCATCACTCCGCAGTCATGCACTGCAGTTGGTGTTTGAAGAAGAGCAGGCGGTGTCTGGCCATGTGACTTCCGTCCAGTGATCCTGGGTAACGGTACCGGGCGTAAGTCTCTGTCCCAGGATCCCTTGATGTCCAAGGCAGCTTCAATTTGGATGCGTGATCCACAACGACGTCTGAGCAGGAGCCCACCCGAAGGGAACCAAGTCCATCCAGGAAGAATTCTGGAGGTGGGGGTGGGGGGGAGTACACAATGAAGCGTCTTGAGAGTGCAGAAGGCCAGCCCTCAGAGAGAAGTGGGATTTGGGGTATGGAGGGTGCGCATGCACACACTCCATTTCTCAGGGCCAGGGAGTCGGGTAGAGGTGGCAGTGACAGTGGTAGGGAAGTTCAAGGTGGACCCAGCAGCCGCGTTGGGTGCGAAGGTTAATGTGGTGTGCAGGCCAGGAGGTAGAAGCTCTTTCTCCTGGTAAAACTTCGAAGAACTGCTCTAGGGGGGCTGGATGGCAGCCACGGGCTCCGCGGGGGTGCCCTTGGCGCCTTGCCGCAAGGAACCTCGCCTCGCAAGGGGAGACCCTGCCAGAAGAGGGCGCCACTCACCCAGGTGCGCCACACGGTTGAGACGCGGGTCGAAGCCGACCTCTCGCACTTTGTCGGTGCGTGCCAGGAAGAAGTTGACCACGCCGTCGGTGACCACGCAGCCCGGGAAGCCGATGAGCTCGTGGTGAAAGCCACGCTTTTGCCGGAGGCAGTTCCCGCGGCCTGGCGCGCCCGGCTCCACGCTCAACAGCTGCCGGTAGGTGGTGGCGAAGCCCGAGATCTCGCGCACAGCGCCCCCGACCTGCGGTGAATGGGAGGATGGCTCCAGGAGGGGCGAGGACTGGAAAGGGTAGGTCTGTGCTCCCTCCGCCTCCTCCCCGTCACCCCACCCCGCCTCTCGTCCCCCGCGGTTCCCCTGCCCCGTCCTTTTCGATTCTACCCCGTCGGGACCTAGATATAGCCCAGGCTCCGCTTCTTCATCCTCTCTTGTCCCAAAGGCTGGCTGCTCTCCCCGTGGTCTTAAGCCCCTGGAAGCCCTCTGTCTCCACCCCACATCCTGCGGCCCCTCCCCTACCAGGTCCAACGGCGTCCGTTCCAGCACGTCCACAAGCCTCTCCAGCTGCGTCCGAGCCGTGAAGATAAAATCGTCGTCCACCCACAGTACGTACTTGGTGGTCACTTGCGACACGGCCAGGTTCCGGCCTGCGAACCAGCCCTGGGAAGGGTATGTGTGGTTGGCGAGGCCGTGGTTAGGACAGACCCCTTGGCCACCTTTCCTTTTCACTCTTGATCACTCTAAACAGCCTGCACCCCTCTCCAAACTTCGAGTTCTTGTGAATGGCGGGGAGCTAGGTAAAAAAAATAGTTTCCCATTATCAGAGGTCCTGAGTCAGTGTTGGGGGCGGCAGTCTTGGAATGCATTTAATTCCTAAGTTCATTCGTTCAACTATTTATCACGCACCCACTAGGGGCTGAGCACCATTCCACGAATGCAGCGCCAATAAGATAGACACAGATGACACGATTTCTGCGTTCACAGAGCTTCCAGTCCAGGAAGCCTCGGGGTTAACAGACATCCATCCCAGTGGTTTTGAGGCCAATAATCCCGGGAACCACTCACTACTCTGGAGACTGAGCGCGCGCGCCCCCTCCCGGTGCCCCGGGGCGCAGGGTTCCGTCCGGCCCGCTGCGCACCTTGCCAAAAGGCATGAGATAGTGCTCGACGTGGGGGCCGCTAATGATCTCCGGCTTGTCGCTGTCGTCGGCGATGATCACTGTGACCGTCGGGTAGAAGCGGCGGATGCTGGCGATGAGTGCCCGCAGCCGATTATAGCGAAGGAAGGTCTTGGTGGCAATGGTGACCAGCGCGCTAATGTTGTACTGGGCTGGGAGTGAGGGGCAGAGTTAGGTGCAGACAAGGAGAGTGGATAGTGAGGAGCAAAAAGACATCCATCTTCTCCCAGGCAGCCCTCTCCCAACTCGTTCCCCACCGGGGCTGCACCCATGTCCCTGCATGCACAAGCCTCACCTCCCTGTGGTGGAGACCCAGGTGGGTACAGCCGAGGGTTGGGGAGATGTCTTATGTGAATGGTGAAGGCCACTTCATGTCCCTCGGTGGAGAACCGGACTGGGAAGAAAGGGCACGAAATGTGGAACAGCATTCTATTTTTAGTAAATAAATATTTAAGTGCTTATTCTGTGTATCACCTTTCTCAGCCCTGGTGGACAAGAACGCAATGTTCCTACCCCCATGGGACTTACATTCTAATGGATGGGAGAAAGATGAGAAAACATTTAATTTAAAGCTAACCTTCGCTGAGCATTTACTATGGGCCAGGCACTTTGTAAATGACCTTAAGTGGTAATTTAAATATGGACTCATTTAATCCTCACGATAGGAAGTAGATTCCTACTACAGAAAAAGAAGGCACAGAGAAATTAAATAATCTGCCACATTTAGACAACGATTTAAGCAACCAAGCTGGGAGAGAAACCTAGTTAGCCTGGTTTCAGGTTAAGTAAATAAGAAAAGTTCAGATACTGGTAAATATTGAATAGAAAATAAGGCAAGTAATGTGATAGTGAAGAGGAGACATTTGAGCTGAGATCCAGATGACAAGAAGGAGCCAGCCATGCACACATCTGGGGGAAGAGCATTCTAGGCAGAGGGAACGGCAAGGGCAGAGGTCCTCAATGGGAGCAGGTTTGGTGTAGCGAGCCTTGGCTGGTAGGTGCCTTTTGCTTGAAGTGGGAGCTTTGGGAGATAAAGCCCTTTGCCCTGTAGTAAGTGGTGGGCTGGGAATAGAGCTGGAGTCTTCTGGCTCCTGGGGCAGGTCACTTCCTGGGGCCCCCATGGTTGGCCTGAGGAGGGGACACACCCAAAGCTCAGATTTCCCTCTGGCCTGCTCTGGCCCCAGATGAACAAAGGCCTCTTCTCTCCCTCCCTGGCCTTGCTGGCCTAGCTGAAATGCCCATTGTGTGGCTGGGCAGCTCTGGCCATTGCCCGAGTATCTCCCACACCCTCTGCCATTTGCCTGACCCAGCCTTTCTGGGTTCTCTCTGTTCACCCAGACTGCCCCTACCTCCACCCAGCGCCTCGCACCTGTGTCTGCTGTGTTTGCCTGGTAGCTTCGGCTGCTGTAAGTGACCAGTTGCAGCTGCCGATTGAGTTGGTCCAGTCCTGAGCTGGTGAGGGTGAGGTTTGGCTGCCCCTCCCCTGTGAGAGTCACTCCAGTCACTTCCCCTGCCACGTCCCATGTGCCCAAGGAGGCAGTCAGGTTCACCTGGGAGCAAGTATTGGACAGCGCAGCGTTAGCCCCCAGACCTACCTCTTGCCGCCCTGATTCCTCCATCCCTCCTTTGGCAGCCCTGTTTCCCTCCCAGCATCCTTTTAAAAAAATATGTATTTTTTTTATTGATTTCAGAGAGGAAGGGAGAGGGAGAGAAAGATAGAAACATCAATGATGAGAATCATTGATTGGCTACCTCCTGCACGCCCCCTACTGGGGATAGAGCCCGCAAACCAAGCATGTGCTCTTGACCGGAATCGAACCCGGGACCCTTCAGTCTGCAGACTGACGCTCTATCCACTGAGCCAAACCAGCTAGGGCCCTGCCCATTTGGCCTCCCCACGCTCCTGTTTCTTCTCACCTGGTATACCTCCTGACCAGAAGCAGCCTGCAGGCTCAGCCCTGGGAGGAAGGGGGGAGATGAGAATCACAGACAGCTTTGCTCACTATCTCTTCCCTTTTTCACAACACAGAACTCTTACCCCTTCCTCTTGTTGAGGCAGCGGGGCACAATGGCCGAAGTAGCCTAGAGTAATTGTTTAACTCCTTCACATCAAAGCAGTAGCCCTTCTATGGCCTGCTTTACCATAGATTCTTTTCTCCAGACTTCTCTAGTTATAGTCTTCTGCAATTCCTGACCACCAAGAGTCCCTTCTGTCCCACCTCCCACCTCATGAACCCCCTACCGACCTCAAGTCCCTCTTTCATCAGAAGACCTGCGCCCGCCCCGCATTCCAATCTTCCCTCATCCTTCCCCACCCAGGCTCAGGCCCTGCCACTCCCACGGTGGCCTAGGTCATCCCCTAGGACCTTTCTCCCCACCTGGCACCAAGATGCTCCTGAGGGGCTGTACCTCCACACCCTGCACGGGGTATTGTAGGGGGCAGTTGGCAGGGGCAATGAGCAGTTGGTCAGCAGCAGACTGGCTCCTGTCCGTGGAGGAGGGGGAGGACAGAGGGAGAGTCAGGAGGAGAGGGGCTTTTCCTCCTGTCCCACCCACCCCCAGGCCGCCTACTGCTCTCTACCAGCATAGTCATGCTTTCCTTTCATGCTGGTACCTTGAAAGGAAGGCCTGGAACTCCTGTTCCCTGGAGGCAGAGGCAGCCTTCAGCTCCTCAGGGTCAAAGGCCTTGGTGAAGTCAGTGGCTTGGACCTGCCTCTGGAAGGGGAGGTGAAGGCTCCCAGTGCTGGACTCACAACTGCAGTTGTTACCAGACAGCAGCCTGGAGCAGGGGGGAGGGTCATCAGAGCCCAGCCATACAGCTCCATTCACACCGCAAAACATTTTCACAGCGCCCTTCAACCCTGCCCAGCCAATATCTGTCCCCCTAAACACTGCTCTCCAAATAGTCCCTGGGGGGGCGGGGGGGACCCTAAATAGGATGAACTACTCCTAAATCAGGATTTCACAGAGGTGCCGAACAGCGCCAAACTGCTAAGATGGCAGAGTTTTCCACCCACCGCTCAGGACCCCATCGCTCAGGACCCCATCGGGGAGTCCTTTATGTGGACATCATAAAGAGTTTCAGGGCCACCCCCTGACTGCACACCCACCCTTCCCCACCACTGTGACAGGGTTCAGGAAGGGCAGATTTCCCCCCAGGCCAAGACTCAATAGCCCCCTCCACCTCCCACCTCACCCCCACGACCAGCCAACCAGCTGGGGAAACCCAGGCATGAGAGCTCAGCGGTGGAGGAAACAAAAGCGCGCCCCCCCCCCCCTCCAAAGTGAGTGACGCACTGTGGCCACCACTCCTGGCACTCACCCCACCACTTGCTCCTTGATCCTGACGGGGATGTGGGCATAGCGGGGCTCAGGGGCGAGGTCTGGCAGCTCTGGCCTGGGGGGACCCTGCAGGGGCGCCCACAGCGAAAGAGGTATCCGCAGGTCCGAGGTATCCCGGGTCCTAGCGTACAGGAGCCCCAGCGAGGCGCCGACGAGCAGCAGAGCAAGCACACAGAGGGCCCTGCGGCCCAGCCGCATCCTGGGTGGGCAGTAGGGGGTGGGGGATGGGGGGTGAGGAAGGTGGGGCGGAAAGGCGTGGACAGACCCTGATACCCCCGCCCTGCTTCCCGGGGCGCTGTCCACATTTTGCGCGCTAGGATTTGTACGGCGAATCGTCACTCCCTACCCACTCCCCTCACTCCCCCGGCCTTGTGTCCCCCAGCCTTCTTCTCGCCTCTCCCGCATCTCCGTCTCCTCTAACACCCGAGGCCCAGCATCCTGATGCGAGGGACCTTTGGATGCGGAGGTTTCCACGCGGCCGCGCATAAGCAGAAGAGACCCGCTTTCTTAGGGCAGCGGAGGCCCCCAAGCTCGTCGGCTCCCCCACCCCCACCCCGAGCCCGCGCATCCCCCCACTCTTCGGTCACCTGGCCCCGGGTGTGCTACAAAGAGCGGCTCCACACCTTGCCTGTCATGAAAAATGCAGAATCACGCCCGCGCTACGGGGTGCCCCCGGCGGAGGTGACCTGGCGAGTGGCCTCGGGGGCACCGAGTGGACGCGCGCGTGCGCCTCCTCCCACCTTCAGCTCGGCCCGCACCCGGCCAGGGCACTAACCTGTCTAACGCTCTCAGGCCGCGGCAAGATTTCGCTCCGGGCGGCGCCAGGCTCTCAGCCCCGGCCGCGGGGTCCTCATGAGGCTGGCGGCGGCCAGATGGGAGAGCCGGGCGTGAGCCTGAGCGCGTGGAGGATCCTCCTGCCTCCCCCGCGCGCCAGAGCCCTCCCGCCTCCGACTCCCTGGGCTTTGTAGATTACGGTGCCGGGGTGGTTCTGGGCGTTTCCTGCCAGGGTGGCGGACGGCCTTGAGAAACCGCCACACGGAGTGGAGATACCAGCGCCAGGGAACAAAGCCAGGGCTCCCCTGTCTCCCTGGCTCGGGAGGGCTCGGGCCGCCGCCCGGCGCTTCAGATCAGGGCGCCGCGCGGCTCCGCTTCAGGCTCGTTGCGGCGCAGGCTTCGGCGACGCGCGGGGAATGCGGGCGCCTTCTGGTGGGAGCCGAGCACATTGCGGGGGCCCGAAGCCGGCGCCCAGAGGTCCTTCTCCCTACACCCCCCACCCCAACCTACCTCTGAACGGTTGGGGGCATCTCGACGTCGGCACCAAACCCTATTCTCTGCCCTATTCGTTAGGAGCCTCTTTCTCATCGTTGATTGGTGTTAATTTTCATCCTGAGCTTTGACATCTTCCTTCGCTAGTTTGTCTTTTGTGAGAGTCGTGTGTGTGTGTGTGTGTGTGTGTGTGTGTGTGTGTGTGTGTGTGTGTTTCTTGGTTAGGGTTCATTGTAGATGACAGAAACCACGCTAGGGGGTGATTGCTGGGTCTTAGGTAGCTTCCAGTGTGGCTGGGGCGTTGGTTTTTGCATGGGTGATAGTACCTTCCATAGCACTGGTCACAATGACTGACAAAGCTACTGACAATTGATGGGCTAAATGTCCTACAATGAATAGAACAGACCTATGTAAGAAAGACTTGCCCTTCTGTTAAACAGGACAAGGGTCTCAAGGGTCTGGGCCAGCAATTTTCAACCATTTTAAAAAATATTGTTTTATTGATTTCAGAGAGGAAGGGAGAGGGAAAGAGATAAAAATATCAATGATGAAAGAGAAACACTGATTGGCTGCCTCCTGCACACCCGACCCCCCCTCCACTAGGGATCCAGCCAAGGAATCCAACCTTGACCTCCTAGTTCAAAGGTTAATGCTCAACCACTGAGCCACGCAGGCTGGGCATTTTCAACCTTTTAAAAAAAAAAAATCTCATGTCACACATAAACTAATTACTAAAATTCTACAGCACACCAAAAAGTATATTTTTTGCTGACAAAAAGTAGGTATAATTTTGATGCATTTACACCAGACGGCTGTCATTGTGTTGGCAGTTGTCATTTTAAACATTTGACAATCTAAAGGAAAAGAGGTCAGTGCCTCAAGTATTGCATGTTTAAAAAAAAATTTGCGGAATTGTTGAAAATCGTTTGTCTGGGCCATCCTTACGAAATACTATTCTTGCTAAATGTTAAAATGTTGCAAAATATTTTTCAGACCAACTGCAACAGTATAAGTTTCACAGGAACCACTCTGATAAGTGTAGGGAACTGCAGAAATGAAATCTACATGAAATTGGACAAATAGTGTATATAAGCAATGGCTAAGCCTCCCTTCCCAGAGGCAGAGCTTTGGCTATGCATCCTGTCTTTTTTACTTGCTGCAAGTAAATAAGAACTACCTTGCAACAACTAGTTCTTGTTTTTTGTTTGTTTGTTTTTAAATATACTTTATTGATTTTTTTACAGAGAGGAAGGGAAAGGGATAGAGAGTTAGAAACATTGATCAGCTGCCTCCTGCACACCCCCCACTGGGAATGTGCCCGCAACCAAGGTACATGCCCTTGACCGGAATCAAACCTGGGACCTTTCAGTACGCAGGCTGACGCTCTATCCACTGAGCCAAACCTGTTACGGCTGGTTCTTGTTTTTTGAATAGAGCACCCCAAGCAGCAAAGCTCTTGAGTTTGGTCACAAGTTTGGTAACTCAGATGGGACTCTTTTTTTTTCTTTCTTTCTTTTTGGATGGCCCTCTCTTAAAAGAACTCCTTCTTGGCTGGTGGGGATGCTTGTCAAGAAGACTGCAGCAGCACTCCTCACCTGCGTCTCCACTGGACCAAGGATCTGTTCCGTGGGAGACTCCGCTGTCTGGCCTGCCTCCACAGCAAGTGGACCTGTTTCACTCGACGCGTTGGCCCCAGTGGCCACTTTAATGAGTGTTTCTTTTCCCGTTTTGGGTATAGGGTTGTTGGAAAGATAGTTTCAGTTCTGGTGTGTGTTTGGTTTCTGGTTGGTTGGGCAAGACTCAGGGCCTGAATTAGGTCTAACTCTGGAGGGTTGAGGAACACCTGTGGGGCAATGAATGCATGACATCCTTGAGTAACAGTCTCTGGTCTGGTTGTCTGTCTGTCCTGCAGAAGGTGGATTTTGTTCTTTGTGTGGACATTTGTGTTTGCCTTATTTGTCTTATATGTAAATGTGCTGGCTATGGGAAACTCACATTTGATCCCTGAATGGAGGCCTTTGGGGTACATCCTTCAGAATTGGATAAAAAGAGCCCTGTTTATTTGACTTAAAGAAATTAAAGTGCTCATATAAATTAAGAAATATAGTGCTCGACTGGTGTGGCTCAGCAGTTGAGCATCAACCTGTGAAGCAGGAGGTCACGGTTTGATTCCTGGTCAGGGCACATGCCTGGGTTTCGGGCTCAAACCCTAGTAGGGGGCATGCAGGAAACAACCGATCAATGATTCTCTCTCATCATTGATGTTTTTTCTCTCTCTCTCCCTCTCACTTCCTGTCTGAAATCAATTTTTTAAAAGGTATGACTCATTTGTTATTTTTAAAAAAGTGATTTACTTGTACCCTGTCCATTCATAAAGAGCATATATCTGCAAGGATGGTTTTGAGATCACTGACTCTGAGCAGGTGCAGTCATGCATTTTCTTGTGTCAGAGCCTAATCAAGGAGCTCAACTTCTGAGTAGCAGCTCATTAGCTCCCCTCCTCTCCTCTGGGAGTGGGGCAGGTCAAAGTGAGAAAGATTGCTCTCTTTATCCATAGGCAAGATGAGGTGCTTCTAAGCTGTGTCCCCTCCTTGGGGAGTGGCCCCCACTCAGCCTGGGCACAGGCCCTCTGGTTTTGGGGGGGTCTTCTGACTGGCAGTGGAATGGGCTGACCTGGGTGCTTCCCCAGCTGTGGGAGCAGCAGGGTGGAGCAGCCCAGCGCTCTGTCACAGCCACAGGCAGCCATTGACATTTAGGAACAGAATGCTGAGTTGGAAGGGAGACGAGTGCAGGGAGGCCACCCCACCCAGAACCTTCCTTTTAGCGGCTGGGTCTGAATTGTGGCGTGTGAGTCAAGCTGTGAAACCAGTCAGGGTCGGCCTGTCCTTTGTCTCTCTCAGTCCCCCCTGTTTGAGATATGGGGGAAGCCTTCTCAGCCCATCTTCTCTAGGCAAAGTCCTGGGGAGCCGGAAGTTAGAGGGCTGAGAGGCGCCAGGATGTATAAGGGCAGTAGGAGGTACCACTGCTAAGTGTGGGTATCAGCGACCCAAGAGAAGAGGCGAGGCAAAGCGGTGCCTTGTGTGAGCAGCCCCTGTGGCATCGCTGACATTCTTACTTTGACCTCCTGTTTCATCCTGATTTGAATAACCGGAGCCTGCAGTTGTTTCAGTCTTCACTTTCAGTCTTGAGTTCCTGTTTCCAAAATGGGCACAGATGGTGGAGGAGCCACAGTCTGTGAAGGGTGGAAACTGTGGGTTACATAGACCTCTGGTGATCTGCTCATCTTAAGGCTTGTCTCAGTACGTAATGGGCAGTGGGTTTGGGGGCAAAGAGGTTGCAAGTAAGTGTGTTCTCCCTGCCACCACGAGTGGCTTTTCTGTGGTGCCTTGTCCCAAGAGAGCAGGAGCAGAGGGCCATGTCAGGACTTCCTCCCCATCTGCTCTCCCTGCCAGGGAAGTGAAACTCTACTTAGCCCCATGGCAAACATCACTGTGCTTGAGGAACCATGGGTCACCGACCGGCTGTTGTATAGAACTGTCATATCTGGCATCCCTTTCCCCCTGGGATTACTGTGCTTCCCCCACTAGGCTCACCCTTTTGGCATGGCCACTTCCTGCCCAGATCCTACCTGTCCTTCCAAGTCCTAGGTACATCTGGCCGCTCAGTAAGTGTCCTGGATCATATGGGAAAAGATTTAAATACAACAGCACCTTCCCCCTTCTCTCCCTTGTTGGCATCTTTGTCCTGAGGTAGGCTACCACTCTGACCCAACAGGGTGAGAGTTTCTGAGTGGCAGGATCCCAATCTCCTTGATTTTCCCCTGCTTCTGCCTCACCTCTTCTGGCACATGTCTCCTGTTGAATGGTGCTGTCCTTATGCACTTCTGTTCTCAGGAATCCCAGAACCTAGGGGACATTCATAAAACAGGCAGCCAGAGAATTTCACTCCTCCAGCTCAAAGATGTACTCTGTCATGTTCAGCAGGTAGCAGTCACAGAAGTATGACTTGTCCCTATTCCCTCAAGAATGAGGAATAAAAAAATCTGGCAGGGGGAGCAGCGGGCGGGGGCTGGGGGTTGGCTGGTTTGACTCAGTTGTTTGGATTGTTGTCACCCTTACACCAAAAGGTGGGGGGGTTCAATTCCCGGTTAGGGCACATACCCAGGTTGCAGGTTTGATCATCAGTTGGGGCACATGTGGTAGGCAACCTGATCGATATTTCTCACATCAATGTTTCTCTCTCGCCCCCCTCCCTTCTTCTCTGTAAAATCAATAATAAAAATTTTTAAAACCTTTAAAAAAATCTAAGGGAGGAATTGTTAGGTAGGATAAGGGTCTCAAGGTCTAGGCCAGCCATGGGCAAACTACGGCCCGTGGGCCAGATCCGGCCCGTTTGAAATGAATAAAACTATTGAAAAAAAAGACCGTACCCTTTTATGTAATGATGTTTACTTTGAATTTATATTAGTTCACACAAACACTCCATCCATGCTTTTGTTCCGGCCCTCTGGTCCAGTTTAAGAACCCATTGTGGCCCTCGAGTCAAAAAGTTTGCCCACCCCTGGTCTAGGCCATTCTTACTATATGCTATCCTTGCTAAATATTAAAATACTAGAGGCCCAGTGCACGAAATTCATGCACGGGTAGGGTCCCTAATGGCTGCTGGCCACTGACCAGAGCCTTCCTATGTTCCGCACTGCCCCCTGGTGGTCAGCGCACGTCAAAGCGAGTGATCAAACTCCCAGTTAGTCGAACTCCCGAGGGGACACTTTGCATATTAGGCTTTTATATATATAGATAGCATACCCCGCTGCAACCTGAACCCCAGCAGGCTGGGTGTTCACCTGTCACACCTCCTCCTGCAATACCCTCCCCACTGCTTCCCTTTTGGAACTCCAAACCCGGCGTCTCAATGAGGATGTGTGCCCAAGCTGCCATCTAGCTCTCTAATGCCAGCACCACCTACAGCTCTAGTAGAAGGAGAAGGGGGCGGGTAAGTAAGGAGGTCTCTGTACCACAACTCATACAAAGCAAACTACCTGTAAATTGACGGTGGTAAAGCACCAAGGAAGCAACTGGCTGCAAAAGCCGCTTGCAAAAGAGTGTTCCCTCTGCTGGAGGGGTGAAG